ATATATATATTTATATAACTATAAATATATAAATAAATAAATAAATAAATATATATATATATATATATATATGTATGTATGTATGTCTCACAGGATAAGTCTTTCTTTTTGTACTTGAGGTTTCTTTTGATGTTTTTCATTGAAGAAGATTTCTTGTAAATAGAGTGTACATTCACCTAGATGATCGACATAATTATTGCCTGTCCCCCAGACATCTAAATAAACTTTGCCTTTCTTCTGAATATCAGTATATGAAATATCTCTAATAGAAGAGAAGCGCAAAGGTATTGCGATCTCTTCATTAAAAACAGGGTTTAAAGAGCTTCTTATTGTTCTAGTTTTTCTTGAAGTACCATCAAAAGAAACCTCAACATAAGTATCAACAGTATTTCTATTATCCGGTGTAATTATTTGATCAATAGAACATATTTTTATAATTAAATAACATCTGTTACTCTCTACATCATATACTTCTCCTTGTTGAGAATATCGGGGTGTATGTGCAACTATTACACGACCCTCTATACACCCGAACCGCCAATCTTTTAGCTGATCCCCCCATCCTTCTATTTTTGCTTGAAGAGACACCCAACGAGGAGACAGTAATTCTAGTTGTAAACTCGGATAGCCTACAACACCGCGTAACGGCAGCTGTCCGTACCCTATCTCCCGAAATGCAGAAGAAGCATTTGCGTCCTCTACTACTACCTGTACACCGCATATTCAAATAAACAATATATATATTTATATATATTTATATATTTATATATATTTATATATTTATATATATATGTATATATAGATACATGTATATATATATATATATATCAAACACACACTTGCATGCAATCGTTATGCTCATGTCTTCATATCTATTCGTTTTTATTAATTATATATATTGTATATTTTGTTCCTATTCTATTTGTCATTTTAATAACAAAGAAGTACAATCAAATATGATGTAAAGAAATAAATGCTACACAATTATACACAAGAGAGACATATGCATATATATATATACATATATATAAATCTATATATATATATATATATGCACCCATATATATATATATATATATGTACTTATGCATATACGCATGCGGTTATACTTCACAGAAATATATTTATATTAAACATCAACGTAAATATAAGCATATAAATATAAATATAAATATAAGTGTATACATAACTATAAATAATATACATGCACAAATATATAAATATAAATATAAATACAAATACAGATACAAATACAAATTTAGAGTTCAGTGTTTAGTGTTTAGGGTTTAGGGTTTAGGGTTTAGGGTTTGTACCTCTAAGTATGTGCTATCTAGGTCTCTGAGAGTGCCTCTGAAGTATAATTCTCCTAAGTTATCCCAGGTAGGTGCATTTGTTTCAAACTGTTCAGCAGCAGTAATTGCAAGCCCTCGATTTAAAGAAGAAGAATGAAGAAGACGTATACGGAGGCGGGGGCTTGGGAGGAGACGCTGTGCAGCAGCAGCAGCAGCAGCAGCACTTCCTCCAGCAGCAGCACCACCACCAGATGCAGCAGTAGGAGAGCTGCTTCCTGCTGTCTCTGCAGGGTCAAAGCCCGCAAGATTATCAGCTTCCGCATCTTCATCAACAGCAATTAATGTTTGCATGTGTTGCTGCAGCAACTCGGTGTATGCATTATTTTGTTCGTCTTCTTCTTTTTCTTCGTCTCTCATAAAAATATTACTGCTGCTTCTCTCTACAAGCTGTTTGCTTGTCTTTGATAATTGTCTTAATGTTTTCAATGAAGCTATACTCTTTGTAGCAGACAAATACGCAGAACGAGATTGTATAGGTGCACCTCCAGCTGCACCCGCCTCTGTTATTCTTCGAGAAGGAGACTTCCGGCTTGCTGCAGCAGACCCTGTCATGCTTGCCCTGCAGCAGCAGCAGCAACAGCAGCAGCAGCAGCAGTAGTTGTTGTTGTTGGAGGAGGAGAAGGATTAGTAAGAGAAGCAAGAGCACAAGCAGCAGCAGGAACAGCAGCAATAGGAAAAGCAGCAGCAGGAACAGCAGCACAGGCAACAGCAGCAGCAGCAGCAACAGCAACAGCAACAGCAGCAGCAGCAAAACACAAGAAATGCGAAAATAATAAACAATATAAATACCACATCCAGAGAAAAACACAATGCATGCAGGCAGAACATAAATGCATGCAAAATATGCATGCAATATATATATATATATATATATATATATTATATATATATGCATGCAGAATATGCATGCATGCATGGAGGCTGAGATTGAAGTGAAGAGTGAGGGAGAAAAGTATAATATAAAGCAGTTCGGGTTTGTTGTTGGTGTTGTATTATTATCAGGGTTTAGGGTTTAGGGTTTATTGTTTGAAACGCCCTGCTAGGGTTGAGGGTTTAGGTTTTAGGGTTTATCGTTGGGGACGCTGCACCCCGCTAGGGTTTAGGGTTTAGGGTTTAGGGTTTAGGGTTTACGCTCGTTTGCTCGTCTTTTTGAAGTTTCTTTGCTGCAGTTTATACTTCGCTCTGTCTACAAATTGGTGCGGGCGGGTTGGGCCCTTAGAGTCTTCTAACGCCTTCTGCAAACCTTTGCTGCAGAAAGGAGACAGGCAAAAGGAGACAGTTAAAAGGAGACAGTTAAAAGGAGACAGTTAAAAGGAGACAGTTAAAAGGAGACAGCGAAAGGAGACAGGTGAAAAGAGACAGCGAAAGGAGACAATTAAAAGGAGACAGTTAAAAGGAGACAGTTGATGGAGACAGTTAAAAGGAGACAGTCAAAAGGAGACAGTGAAAAGAGACAGTTAAAAGGAGACAGAGGAAGGAGACAGTTAAAAGGAGACAGCTAATGGAGACAGTAAAATGAAATAACAAAAGGAGACAGTAAAAGGAGACAGTTAAAGGAGAGACAGAAGAGACGGACAAAGGAGACAGACAAAGGAGACAGACAAAGGAGACAGAAAGGATAATAATAATAATAATAATAATAATAATAATAATAATAATAATAATAATAAGACATAAAAAGAGTAAAGGAGACAAACCGATTAAATACTCTTCTTTGAAGAAAAGCAGAAGAGCAGAGACGAGTGCCTCTCCACTTTATAAACGCCAACTCGAAGTCGTACAATTCTTGAAAATATAATTGAAATGATATCCGGCAACGACGCGAACGACGCCCTGACACCCAAACCCTAAACCCTAAACCCTAAACCCTAAACCCTAAACCCTAAACACCAAACCCTAGGCATTGAATGCAAGGAATAAGAAAATACCCAGGCCCGTCTATTAATAAATTTATCTGTCAATCTCTGTCTCTCTCTGTTAATAAATTTATCTGTGAATCTCTCTCTCTCTCTTTTTTATCTTCCTGGCTTCGTTTCTTGTTTTAGTCTCCTAACTCCTTTTATCTCTTTTGCACTCTATATAACTCTATTTAACTCTATTTAACTCTTTTTATTTATTTTAATTTATATTTATTTATATTCAGCCCTAACAAACTTATGAAGATCTCTCTCTATGTAGGCTTCTCTCTGTCTCTTCTTTCTAAGACCCTCTGTCTCTATATAACTCTATTTAACCCTATTTAACTCTTTTAATCTATTTTTATTTATTTATATTTACCCTTAACAAACTTATAAAGATCTCTCTCTATGTATGTTTCTCCTGTTGCAAATGAAAGAAGCGGTTCTTCAAAGACAGCCTCCAAATGATTTAACGTCCAAGTACGATATTCCCACACCTATAAACAAATAAATAAATAAATATATATATAATTAAATAAACAAACAAATAAACAAATAAATAAATATATAGACAAATAAGTAAATAAATAAATAAATAAATTGAATAATTAAACAAATAAATAAATAAAACATTTATAGATAAGTTGATTGGTTAAGCAATTAATTGTCACAGCATCAATATATACATACAGATAATTAAATATTAATTTATTTATTTTATTTATTTATTTTATTTATTTATTTATTTATATTTTATGCAAGTCGCAAAAAATACGCTGAAAAAATTGCGGATTTCGATTTTGGGTTTTTTTATCCAAGTACAAATAAACATAAAAAATGTCATAAATATATTATCTAGATATTATATATTATATGCTTTTATATCACATATATTATATATTTTAGATGTATAATATGTAGATAATATAAGGTAAATATATATATATATATATATACGTACAATCCGTATGATGTAAATATATATATATATATATATGTATATATATATGTAAATAGATATAATCAATATTATACATATATACACATATAATGAAGTATACATATAATATAAACACAATATATATATATATAAGTATATATAAGTATATATATATATAGATATATATATATATTGATATATATACATATATATATATATTAATATATTTATTTGGACTGACTTTGATTTTGAGTTTTTCTTTTTCCAGGTCTAAGTACGACCCTCTGTATTCAAACGACTGTCTAAATTGCAAACTAACAGGTGTTTTGCTGCTGACGTTATTAACAACGGAGCTTCGAAGATAATTCTTATCTTGTCCCTTTGCATATATGCGTGTGCTGTCGCCTCGCTAAGCAGCAGCAGCAGCAGCAGCAGCAGAAGCAGCAGAAGCAGCAGCAGACGCAGCAGCAGACGCAGCAGCAGCAAAAGCAGCAGCATAAACAGTGGTAGCAGTAGCAGTAGCGGCAGCAGCAGCAACAACAACAGAAGCACAAAAGCAAACGGAATTCAAGCAGCTGCAGCAACATCGAAATGAGCAGCAGCAGCAGCAGCAGCAGCTACACACTTCAAAACAACAACAGCAAATCATGAAATACCAGCAGCAAAGGCCCCAGCAGCAGCAGCAGAAGCAACAAACGCCGTAGCAGCGGCAGCAGCAGCAGAGGCACCATTTCCAACAGCAGCAGCAGCAATAGCAGCAGCCCCAAGAGCAGCAGCAGCAAATGCAGCAGCCCCAACGGCAGCAGCAGCACCACCATCACCAGCAGCAGCACCAGCAGCAGCACCAGCAGCGGCACCACCAGCACCAGCAGCAGCAACAGCAGCAGCAACAACAGGAACAACAGCAGCGGCACCAACAGCAGCAACAGCAACAACAGCAGCAACAGCAACAACAGCAACAACAGCAACATCAACAGCAGCAACAACAGCAGCAGCAGCAACAGCAGCAGCAGCCCCAACAGCACCAACAGCGACAACAACAGTAGCAGCAACAACAGCAGCAAGAAACATACCTAAGTATTCATCAAACAGCATTTTCTCAACCTCCGCCTCATCCATCGGTTCTTCTCCTTCTTGAACTGTTACATTTCCTTCTGCTTCTCCACCATGATTTTCAGGTGTCTCGGGAGGTGGGCCCCCTGGGGGCCCCCCGGGGGCCCCCCCTGGGGGGGCCCCCGCAGGGGCCCCCGCGGGGGCCCCCGGGG